CATCTAGTCCAACTGCCCTGAAAAGGCAGGGTCACCTAGAGAAAGTTACAGAGGTGTACAAGTGGATTTGGAATGTCTCTGGAGTGGGAGACTCAATGACCTCTCTGGGCAGTCTATTCCAAGTACTCTTCCAGCATCAATGCAAAGAACATGTAGAAGAACTCATCAAGAATTCCTCCCTCTCTCCTTTCTCATCGACCAAGTGAATACATTTTTCAACCTCAGGCAGCCAGAGCTGACAGGCCTGGAGGGGACAGAGGCCATCCAGAGCCTGCAGGTGATGGAGCATGTTGAAGCCCATGTATCTAGTGAGCCAGGGGCCTTGGCTGAGGAGGAGGACTGTGAATGCAATATTGACAAAGAGCTGTCCTATGAGATGTCTGAAGAGAACCAAAAATTCCCAGTGCTCTTGAAGAGGTGTGGAGACTACAGAAAAAGCCAGAGATGCGTATCCTGAGATGCGTTGGAAGGCCACAGTGGCCAAGACCTGTTTCTACATGAAGATGATGAGGGCACAGCAGGATTAGTAGAGAGTAAAAAGCACTGCAGAAGGCAAGGGCAACCCAAGTTCTTGTTAAAAGATCCTTTGGGGTGAAACACCACTGAACAGTTGGTGTTTGTAAATATAAACATGTAGGGTTTATTACAGAATAGTTTGGTTGCAAAGGAAAACAGGTATGTAGCAGTTTTGGTTAGTATTATCTCTAGTAATATAACAACAAGGAAGCATTACAATATAAAAATGGAACAACATCACCCAAGGACATGCACAAGGGAAAAGAAAGAGAAAGCACAAGAATGTAATGAACAAAAAAAAAAAGAGAGAGAGAGAAAACACAAGAGTGTGAAGCTCTCACCACCCGTAGGTCCTTCACCAAGACTTGGTTGCTGAGCAATCTCAGTTAAAGTGGTGATTGCAAAACTGATCTGTTGGGTGATGGGAGAAGTACCAAAGAACTGGCAGGGGAAAATCCCCAGGAAAATCTGCTGAACACAAAATCTATTTGGTTTATAGTCAAGTTCAGGTGGGAACACCCACGTGACCAAGGTACCTCCCCCAGGACAGGGAGGTTCACATTGGATGATGTCATTTTGTGGATCACTGGACACTTCGGGTGCCCTTGACACCTTCTGAGAAAACATAGCTGCCCAAGACAACGTAGGGTCCAAGACAATACAGTTGCCCACCACGCCAGGGCAGCTGAGTCAATTATGGCCCGTTATGACCCATCAGCCACATGACCCTCAGGCCACGTATGAATGTCCCCGGTACCTGGGGAAGTGGAGGTGGAGGTGGTGGGAGAGGGAGGAAGGGAGGGGAAACAAAGGGGAGGTGCAGGGGGCAGTGGGGGGATGGCGGTTTGTGCAAGGGAGGACAATTTAGCATGACAAAAGCACCACCCTGTCTCCACAGGATTATTTCCTATCTCACTCATAGCTGATCAGTCACTCTCTGCCTTATCACATCAGGGGTTAGCCACTACACAGTCAAAAGCTAAACTCTTCCATCTTCAAGCCGGGCTTCAACAAAACTCCCTGGTCTCCACAAATGGGGAATGTTTTGAGTCATTATCCAGTGGTCTCAGTTCAGTTCAGTGTCCCACAGAGAGGGAATAGCAACTGCCACAGCATATTCTTGCCATGGGTGGTCACATGGACACAAAGGATGACTCAGACACATCCAAGAGACATGACAGATGCCCAGACACATCCCAGACACATGCCCAGAAAGGGCAGGCCTGGCCCAGCTGTCCCACAGAGTATCATTCAGCTCAGGCCAGCAGCACCATACACACCAATGCTGACCATACACCACATCTACCACTCCTTGGCAAGAGTCCTCAGTGACAGCCAGCCCCCTGGCATAAATGCCCTGCCATGACAGTAGCAATGTTCCCTGTTCAGGAGGGCACTCAGGACTATGTGTAGGGTGTTTGTTGGCACCTGTGGTCCATGAAAGCAGCAGTGCCTGGCTGTGTGCTGTGCCAGAGCCTGGAGATGGATGCTCTGAGCACCAACAGCGTCTGTCTGAGAGAGCAGCACAGGGAGGCATGGCATGGATGCAGGGACTGCACCTCAGGCATCCAGCCACATCCCAAGGGCATCCTCCTTGGGATATTCTTGGCCATGATTTATTGAGATCAGCATATGATTCATCTTCAGATAATTTTGTTAATCCTGGACTTAGTTCTTTTGCCCAGAAATATTTTCTTCGAACAGTGCTACAGGTGGTTACACTTCACAAAATCTCACTAAACCATGTGAAAAAAACATTAGATCTGGTTCGTATTCTTATCATGAATATTTTGTCAATATTTTATACTTTTTTCTTCAATAAAATGGGCAACTTAACTTCATTAACTACAAAAAATGGATTGAAATAAAAAAAACTTGCACGTACCTAAGCTGAGATAAAGTACAGTTTTAAATCTCAGAGAATATTTTTATTATCTCTAAGCAGCTGACTAGCTACTGTCAGATATAAGAATTCTCTCAAGAAGATATCTATACAGTTTCTAGTATCTTTTTGAAGTAGAAATAGCTAACTTAGAAGTCTACAAACCAAATGACTAATTAGAATTCTTTTGCCCTATCTTCACTTACCAACACTTTCAGCTGACATTTCAAGTCATTTAAGTTCATTGTATTTTTACAACTCTTTACAGTTTTGATTAAGCTGAATAGCATTCTCTAATAAACTCTATCTTTGCTATTAATATCACCTCCAGATAGCTTAAAACTGAGTGCTAAGAATACTCTAAAAAGCAAAGAGCACAGAAGTGAAAGGAACCGTACTAGTGACATCACTTCATAAACTGAGTATTTATTCCTTTGTTTTTTTTCCACTTATTTGGATAACCAGCTCCTATATGTAGCTCAGCATGTGAACAAAATTGTTCTAACTTTAAATTCTGTATGCAACAAGGACATAAAGTAGTGGTCTGTTGAGCCCATATCCATAGCCATTACAGATGAGCATTTGATATTGATTTGCATATGAAGTGGATTAAACACTTCAGTTTTATTACTTGTATTTTATTATATATTATTTAAAATATTTACATAAAATATACGTAAATATTTTAATGGTGAAATTTTCAAAATACAATGATGAATTAAAGTAATACATTTTACGTGAACTTCAAGTGGCAGACAGGTTTCTGGCTGATACATCAAGCTTAAATTCGTACCTTTCTGACTGAGGAATCTGAATAAAAAACATTCTCATCCTTTGGAAGCCTGTTAATTAAAAAAAACAAACAAAACAAACCATCAACAAAACCAAGCACTGGAAACTGTACAGGATAAAGTCCCTTGCCTTTCAAGTTAGTAGAAAAATGGTTAAGTCTTGAAAAGTGCAAAAATATTACAATATATCATGGTGACTATTTTTGAAGAAATTAAATGTTCTGTAAAAGCTTCTAGGCTACTGGAACAAAAAAAAGTGGAAAGCAACCATGAGATTCTATACAAATTGGCTTGAGCTGGCAAGGAAATGTAAGGAATATATATTAATCTGCTAATCCCTATACAATAAGGAATATAATTCGGCGTATCCATTTAGTTTACAGTAACCAGTGTTCCTCCTAAAATGGTGATGTCTTTAAACAAAATAGTGATTTAAAATACATTCATATAAATAAAAGCTTTTAAGTCAATGCACACTACTTTGTTAGAAAAGCATGCTTGTTAAATTACTGGATAATGAAGCATAGAAGACCAATTTCACAATGCACTATATTTAGGAGATATATAGTTTGTTATACACTGACAAAACAGACATACAGCTAACAGCATTTTAAATTAACCTTTATTGTTCTAGCAAACTGAAAATTTTGATCCCGTAACCTTGTACTTAGCAGAGAACAGTTGAGGAACCAGCTGAGGAAAAGCAGCAGTTTGACTCCTGTAGCATATCCAGATGGAATAATGTGGTACTTCATATCCTTCTGCATGATACAGAAGTTTCATGGTGCTGGCCATGCGGGGATGTTTTGAGCTCCTGGGTTCAGAGCTTAGTCCAGATGGGTGACTGGTTGGCTGTATTGATGTTCCAGGGTCTGTCATTAGCTACAACCTTCACCGTCAGCACCATGCTGCCTCAAAGCACCCTGTTTAACAGTGCACACCCAGTGCACTGGAGATAACCAGTTCTGCTCCTAGTGATGAACCTAGGGTACTAATAACAACAACCAGATGGTCTTGCAGTACCTCAGTGAGAGAAAACTGAGCCTGCCGTAACATCTGCCGGATGACAAAGTACCAAGGGCTTCAGAAAGATTTGCCTGAGACACATAGAATGCTAGTCTGGAGGACATTCACCTTGTGGATCAGTAGTAGTGTGTCCAGCAGGACCAGGACAATGACTGTCTCCTGTACTCAGCACTGGTAAGGCCGCATCCTTACCGAATCCTGTGTCCAGTTCTGGGCCCAACAATTCAAGCATGTTGAGGTGATGGAGCATGTCCAGAGAAGAGCAACACAGCTGGTGAAGAGTCTGGAGCACAAGTAATGGCTGAGGGAGGTGGGGGTGTTTAGCCTGGAGAAAAGGAGAATGAGAGGAGACCTTATCACTCTAAATAATCACCTGACAGGAGGGCATAGCCAGGTGGGGGTCGTCCTCTTTCCTTGGCAGGACAAGAGGACACAGGCTTATGTGTGCCGGTAAAGGTTTACATTAGGAAAGGCTGGACATTAGGAAGAATTCTTCAGAGAAGGGGTGACTAGACATTGGAATGGACTCCCCAGGGACGTGGTGGAGTCACTAACGCAGAAGGTCTTTAAGGAAAGACTGTGTGTGGCACTCAGTGCCATGGTCTAGGTAATAAGGTGGCGTTCGGTCGTAGGTTAGACTCGATGACCCCAGAAGCCCTTTCCAACCCCAATGACCCTCGATTCCCGGAGGGAACACTGCTACCACGCGCGCCCCCGCTGGAACCCGCCTCAGGGGTGAGGGCGGTTCGGCGCGAGGAGGGCGGGGCCGCGCAGTCACGTGNCTCCGTTGTCGTCGTTGCAGCCGTCGTGGGAGGGCGGCGGCGGTGCCAGGTGGGGCGGCTGCATCATGCTGGTGAAGAGGATCGGCCTGACGGCAGGCGGCTGTGGCATAGTGAGTGCCGGATGGGAGCGGGGGCTCCGTAGAGGTGGCGGCGGCGGCTGCGGCTGCGGCTGCGTGCGGATCCTGCCAGCGCTGAGGGCGGCCGTGCGTTGCGGGCTGGGCCGGGCTGCCCGTGGGTATCAGTGCCCTGCCCGCCCGTGACGGGTTGCCCCTCCTCAGCTGCCCGCCGAGATGTTTCCTGGAGTGTCCTGCCCCGGGTGCCGTAGAGAAGTTGGGGTGCGGCGGGTTCTTCGGGTCGGCCCTGCCCTGCCCGTCCCTAACAACCCCGGTATGTTCGAGTTTGTCCGGGGCGGAGTAACCTGAGTAACCGCACCTGTGAGCAGGTGGCTGTAAATAAGTTTTCTTTTAAACTGTATGAATCCTAGGTGCCAGGAGGGTAAAACTTAAGTTTTCCTTAGGAGCTCTTGGAGGTGCTCCTTGTTGAACCTAACCCACGGGGTTACCGTGCGCAGTTTTTATAAGTTGCTGTGATTTCTGTTTCGTCTGTTCACAGTAAGCAGTGAGATCGTGTTGTGCAGAAAAAAGGAGCTGGAAGGGAGTGAGTGATCCGTGCGCTCCCTCGCTGCAAAGTTACTTTTATAAATGTGGTAGCGGTGCGTAATTGCTTTCTGCAGAAAAAGTCTTAATCCTTTCCCTCAGTACGTCAGTGTGCTCAGAAGGTGCCTTAAAACCAGATCAGAGGTCGCATCCCTTGAGCTTTCTGCAGTAGATGACAGGTGACTTGTTTCAGGCAGGGTACTGGCTGAGGCGGTATAACCCATCCTGTGTTGTTCAAGTTAGCCCGGAGGTCAAGATGGAGTAGAACCCATGGAAGACACAAAGTAATGAAATCCTGGTACTGACAATTTTTTTAAGGGGTACAGGTGCAAAACAAGGCAATGCCTTACTGCGCTGAATCTTTGTTGGCAAGTTGAAATCACATGTATTTTTTTTTTTTTTTTTGTGTCTGAATTGCAAGGTACTAACAAATTTTCTTGGGGTATATTTATCTTCATGTGTACCTGAATAATTTAATATTAGTTTACTCACAAAATTGGGTATGCTGAAAGCACTGCATATGCCAAAAGTTCTAAAACAATGCTAGGTTTGTGTCAGGGAGCCAGCATCTCCTTTTTGTGTTGCATGTCCACGCACAGATAAGCATCTCTGTTATCAGAGATAGTGTGCTGTTTTATGTGAAGGTGAAGAAGTATTTTTAGCTGAACATTAGCAGTGTAGCAGTAATGTGATATCATGGCTAGAGATGAAGAATATTAAAAAAATATCTTGAAACCATTTGTTTGATGCACATACATTCTTTCTACCTTACTTGTATTTGATGAAGATGTTAAGGTACTTTAAAGATGTAGAAAAATGTTGTTCTATGGAATTAATTAGTAAAGTAATTTTTTAATGTAAGTTAATTCCAAAATGACTGCTTCACACTTCTTATAGTATATCACTTCCATATTTGAGCCTTTTGGTTGTCTTTTAGAAATGGTTATGCCCTCCAAAAAGCAGATTGGATGGACTCTTCAGCTGATGTCTGCTGTATGGTAGAATTGCTGTTCCAGGTTTGTGTACAGCAGTTCCCATTAAAGGGTCTAGTGTATGTGGGATGCAGTAACCCAATCTGAAGTCAGACTACAAAAATATCTCTGAAAGAGTTTTGAAAAGTTAATGTTTTAGTTAAGAAACAGAAGGTTTCAGTTTTATCAACTCAGAAGATATGGTGGAAGATACAGAGGATTGATCTCACTATATATAAGAAAAACAGTTGAATTTTTTGATGTATGAACAGAGGCTAGGAAATGGAAAGTATATGTAGGGAAATTTAAAAAGAAATCAAAAAACTTTTCTTTCTCTAGTTTTGAAAAGTAAAACCCAGATGGAAATTAAATCCATAACTGACAAAGGTGCTAACCTGTTTTTTTTTTATTAATAGATGTAATGTTTGGTAAAGTTGGATCAAGTGTTAAAAAAGTGCTTTTAAGGACTTAAAATATATGTTCTATAAGTTTGAAAATTTAGCTTCAAAGTGACATAAATCCTTAATTTTGTAAAATGATCTGAGGTTTGTGTTTCTGAGTTTATTTTTTTGTCCCTTCCCTCTTAGTCATGGCCTTGGAGGACTTTGTATTCCTCGGAAGCATCTCGTACAAGACAGAATGGAATGGGGCTCTAGCAATATTTCATAAGTGCAGTTATATCATGTTAGGGTCTGCATCTGTTCCTGACTGAACAGTCTGTTTTGTAATTGCAGTTCCTGCACCTCCCTGTGATTCTCACGTGGTTGTCATATTGCTACAACTCTCTCTGCTTAGACTTTATTGAAAGAGCTTATTCATAATAAAATATGAGGGGCCAGATCATAGCTTTAGATGTAGTTGCAGAGATCTGTTTGATATCAGTGGGATACCCCTGACATTTGGAAGAGGAAGGTCGTTGCTTGGACTGCTGCTGAATAAATAAATGCAGAAGTAAAATTTTTGTGAGCTGCTTCTTTGGTCTGCAAAGAATGTCTTAATTTTTCATTTTTATTTTTACTCTTTCCTCACATCAGATCAGTAAGGCAAAGTGGAAGAGTATGACCAAGTCTGTAAGGTTGTGCAAGGCTTTCTCTTTTTACCCCTCCAGCTTGGATATAAGAAGATTCTGGTTTTTGATGTAGCTGTAACTAACTTCACCTTGTTGAATGCATTGGCTTCACCGAATCAAAGAGCTGAAATACAAATGCTAAACAAATGACTTCTTATGAATAGAATTACTGCCTCAAAATTAATAAGAACAATAGTATGTTTAACTGAATTCCAGTGGAATGAAATAATTTTTCTTGCCTGTATTACTGTCACTTAAGTGAGCCTCAGAAATTTAAGTAAATGATGCCATGGGACATTTTGTTAGCTGTTGTGCAATCTTGTTACATCTGAATGTATGAATATGAATACTGGTAGTAAAAACTTGGCATGGCATTCAGAATATTTGCACTATGCACTTCATTTCTGTGCAACCTATTATCAGTAAAATGTCACACTAAGGAACGTTTTCAGCAAAATACAGTGTCATACTGTCTTAATTAAAGTGCTTTTGTGGGAGAAGTCCTAAATAGAGAATGGAATTAATCAGATGTTAGTTTCATGTTTTTGGACACTGTAAAACACCTCAGCTATTATGAAGCCAAAGACGTTTATATATTTTGGAAAGATAATAGAAACATTTTGAGCTGTAGATCTTGGAAGTTTAACAGCCTTTATTATTTAAACTATTCTACACAGTGAAGCACAACTGTATGTACCCAAAAATTACATGTTCTTATCCTCAGTGTTAGGATTTTTCTTTTTTATACTCCATAAAGAATACAGCACAGTAAAACTAAGACTGCATAATTTAGTGTTATGAGACTTTAGTGAAACAGGTCAGGTTAGTGAATTCAGTAAGCTGGTTTCTTAAATTTCTTGCTTTTAGAATTGAAAGTGTACTGCTGGTGGTAAAAACATTGTTCATTTGTTAGTTTGGGTGTTTAATCCTTTGTGTTTTCTCTCCACACTGGGTATTTTTACTTTTAAATCTGAATAATTAAAGATGAACAATATTGCTTTCTCAAGACTGACAATGTCATCCTGAATCTTCCCATCCCGTTAAACTGACATTAAGTCTGAACTGTTAGCAGGAATGTTCAGCTGTTCTGTTTAGAAGCAAATCACTCTGGTTTATATGTTTGCTGAGAGGGCACTTCTGCTGTTACAAATCTACTTTCACTGATGCCCCGGGTTCTATCAGTGTGGATGGTGTTGTGTTCCAGAAGACTGTGATGGATTAGCATTTTAAGAAACAAAGAGAGACAGAGACATACTATAGACTAGGGCAGTAAAAACTTAAATTATCAGGTCATAGCTATGTAATTAGTTATGAAGATGCAAACCTAGCCTACTGGACAAGGAGGTGTAGTAACTATCTGTCCCATGGAGAAGCATGCATTAACTAAGCAGCCAGGGGTTTTTAGAGGAGTATCTCAGTGTTCTACGTATTTCTAAGTTTTACAAGGAAAACTTAGATAAATTGGCTTCCAACTTGCTGTAGTGTAATACGCTGCTTATGTGTTATTTCTGTATTAAGTAGTTTAATTAAGTAGTGAGTTACTGTACAGACTGGTGCTTTCAGAATGTAGCAGGATGTACAGCATTGTTTTCTTGGCTTGTCTTCCTACCTGAATGGCTTCAGTCATGAAGACTGAACCAGAAATGGTCGTCATGCTTTGCATGCCTTAGAAGATGCCTGCTTCTAAACTTGTCCAATCTATGCTTAAACAGGAATGTGTTCCCAGCAGGAAATACAATATGGCAAGACGTTTTAGACCTCAAGAATAGATTGTGTGAAGTGCCACTTATTTTCTTGTGTTTTAGTATAAGGAGGTAGTGGCAAATTTTTCTTAATACCCTTCGTGTCATTCCCTGTTCAATGAATCCTATTTGTATCTTTCTGCAGATATTTTTATTGTGGTTTTGAGGAAGCTGCTTCAGCATTCCTCTGTACCTTTGGTAGTGTTATTTTTATTTCTGTGGGCCTCTTGTGCTTCTGTATGCAACAATGCATATTGCTTAAAGCTTCTGAATGAAACAGTCATGGGATAAGAAGAGGATCTTTATGTAGAGCTAATAAAAATGGTCAGAACATCAGAAGAAGAGGATTAGTAAGGCAGGCACATCACATGTTAATGCAGTAATATAGTGATAATCTTTTTCCTAATAGGAAAAGTTCTTCTGAATGTGCTTTAGTAAGCCACTGCTGAATGCTAGACTAATTTCTTTCATTTAACTCTTTCTTTCCAGGATCACATTCCTGTGTTGTAGTTGTCCTATATGTGGAATTAAAATTGTTTCTTCTTGTTTGCATAATGTATATTTAAATTTATATACATTAATTTCAATCTACTGTTTAATTTGTTCTACAGATTCCATTAACTTTTGTTGTTCTTTACTGTTGCCCTATAAGTCTTCCAAAGTGAGTTGCAT